TTTTTTTTTTTAATTAATACATTGAATTTTGTTACATTAGACGGACGCAATTCATTGTAGTGTCAGATTATGTTTTAAATGTTTGATTATTTTTATTTGTTCCTGAAAATATTTATTAAGTGATTAAATATAGGTTTATTTTAATATCTAATTTAGTATTAAACAGCTTTTATTCATAACTGCTTTTTATTCCTTGAATATTATAAACAAAATACCATACATAATCCACATACATCATACATAAATTATTTGGCAGAAAAAAAAAATGTTAAAACCACGGAGTTGGAATGAAGTAGAGCGCGGAAGTGTCACCAGATGCAGAGCTCATTCTAGACAGAAAAAAGGGCATTATTATTCTAAAAAGGCAATAATTTCTTTCTATGGGCTTTACACGTTCTATTAAAAAACATTGTCAATTAGTAAAAGAAATTTTTTTTTAAACTTTTCTAAAAGTAGCAAAGCAATCATATTAATTACTAATTTTTATTAAATTAACATATATATCGAGTTTATAAGCTAATTAGCTTAGTAATTTATTTGAAATGCATGCATATATTATAAAATAATAAATGTATGTTTTTGAGTGTTTGTAGTTATGATTTAATAATTAAAATGAATAATAATAATTATGATTTTATGATAGTGGAAGTAACTGCAAACTTTCAAAGACAAGTGCAGCAAGGGGGTGTGGTGGCTATTTTTACTTTCTCATATAAATCCATGTATTGACAGCAATGACAAACTAAATAAAAAGAGTTGAAAATAATAAAAGTTTAAGAAATCCATTGTATAGTTTGGGGGGGGGGTGTAGCGAGGTAGTATTAATGTAAAATCTATGTTAAATTAAAATGTAAACGCATTTTATAAACCTTAATATCGATAAATCAATAAAAAAATTATTATGCAGGGCTGTTACCAAAGAAATTCAGAAAACAACTGAGTCAAATTATAATAATTTTTATCAAAGCATACATTTTTACCGTTGTTGTTGCGTATGCCTGTTAGGCAGAGGGGTGCGATTGTTCTTGTTTTCCATTGGCGCCATCTATGGCCAAGAATTCGACTTTTGCCGGCGATCTTCGGCCGGCGGGCTTCGAACTCTCGGACGTGGGCCCAGTGCCCTACCAACCAGGCTATCTCGACCCTATTTTTACCGTTTTTAAAACCATTTAAAAATTTAATTTTTCTTAAATTATAAAAATTTCTTTCATTTTGCATATATTGAAAAAATAGAAATTTAAAAATAATTTTGCAATCTAGTAAAGTTTTGTTCCAATAAATATAATACAATTTTTTACTGTTCCACTAATCACGTTTTACTGTGTTTTAAAGCATTTTAGAACGCTTATTTCTTCATTTTAAGCTTCTCAGAACACTCTATTTCGCATAGGCATACATAGTAAA